GATTGTGTACAAATGAAGGAGTTTTTCTTTTGCTTTTCAAGGAGAGGAGCGAACTGGGGGTGGGGTGGGTGGGGAGAAAAGTGCAACAAGGAATGAATGGAATTCCAAAATCTCTGTACATGTTCATCGAAATGAATAATAATAATAATTTTTAAAAGGGAAAAAAAACCCCTTGCTTTAACAACCTTCCATATATAAATTTTCTAGAAAATGCACTCAGCTGGAACTTTTAATCTCTGGTAAATGACAAGTTATATTAACTCCAAAAAGTATAAGATAAGCAAATCCTAGATTTGTCTGTGCTCAGCCTCCTCCCACTGCCCAGCCTTCTGCAGAAGAATCATCAATTCAGAACGTTTCCTCCTGGCATCTGTAGGTACCACTGCTGAATAGAGGGCTGGGGATATTCTGTCCCTTTTCCTTCCTTCAGCAGCAGAAGGAAGGGAGAACTATGTTAAGGAAAGCCTAGTTGTGATGGGCTGATAGAGGAACAGGGAGTGGAATATGTAAATATGTTTCCCTCCTGGAGAACTTCCAGCCTGGAGAGCCTCCATCTCAGTACAGGAATTAAAACTTTTCCTAGGCCCAGCTGCTTCCCTAGTGCCTCAGAGAAGCAGCTTTACTCACCAGCTGCCTGTATTGGGCTGTGAATGCTCCATAATAGGCCACACAAGCTGCAGATATGAACACATTCCCTATGATATTTGACAGCTCGTCTTCAGATTTCTGGATACTTTCTTCCCAGCGAACCTGTTCATCTCCTAGTGCTGCTGTTAGTTTCCCAGCTCGTAGGAGGCGTGCTTGTGTCAGGGCCATGGTCTTTGCTGGGAAATGTTAAGAAAATCAGATTACATTATTTGGTTATTTTCCTAAAAGGCAAAATCCCTCCTTTCATTGCAAGAACAATACTCTAAGGTTCTAATCCATTCCCATGCCAGTTGTGACCTGAGAATGTGACAACTGTGGTTCAGAGTTTTAGTTAGCTGATTTTCACTAGTAGACTGCCAGGTTTTATTCCTAGTCTGTTTTAGGCTGAAAGTTTTGCTGAAATTTGGTCATCTTCCTCACAACCCACATGCTCCACTGCTGGAGGAGTGATGGCTGCACATGTGGTGTATTGGGTGGGAATCAAATTCAGTTCATAAAAGGTCAGAATTCTATTAATGAATACCAAGTTTATTCATCTGCTTTTGCTTATAAAGGAATTAGGCACTGTTACTAATGATGTCAATGTTTCTCCATGAATGTCATATTAATTCAACATTAAGTCCATATTTTCCTTTTCCATGAAAAGAGCTCTTTTTTTGGTACTCATTTATTCTGGATAAAGGCAGTATCTTTGCTGTGACTGTGGAATATTTATTTTCTGCATTAAATTCATACGCAGTTTTTAAAACCATAATATGTCCATGAAGTTTTGTTCACATATTCAACAGACTATCTGTAGTTTATCCAATTCTGTACTAATAGGTTAATGGCATAGGCCTAAGAAAAACATCCTACATGTTGGACCGAAAGTGGAGATTTGATTGTTTGAAAGCTCTTCCTATTTTTACAAGGTTGGTATTTTCTGACCATTATATATCTTATGAGTTACTTACAAAGACTTTCTTTTTCATTCACACTTTTGTCATATTCATCTTGTAAAGCCTGTATTTGATCCTCTACTTCTTTTAGTAATACTTGTTTGTCTTTCAGAGTAGCCAATGTAACATCAAGTTCAGCCTTGATAAAAAAAATCAAGAAAATATTCAACATAGGTCTCCAAAGAGAGCTGAATATGCATATTTATAATATATATTTTACATATTTTTGGCATCTCTCCCATTTTATATATGTTCCATCAAAGCTTTTTGATAGGAGGGAGCTCTGGTGGGCTTTTGGCAAGAAGCTGCACTGCAATCCCAGAAGTAAGTGGTTTGAATACACCAGATGCTCTGCTGGAGGAGGGGCAATCTCCTCCTGTACCAGTCAGATC